GACCGACATTTTTTCCCATAGATTTACGTGTAGATATGGATGAATCAGCTGAATCAGATATTCGTGAATTAATGAAAACCGAATCACTTCAGAGGGCCTATCGCAGGCATTCACTCGAAAAGCAGGTATCAAACTAATTCCTATTTAAATTCTAACGAAAATTTTTATTTCATACTTTTTTTACTTTGTCGAAACACTGCTTCATATTTTTTCCTTAGCTGATCACCTTGCTTTGGTCAACAGGTTACTCTTCATTCTATCATTCAATTTCAATGCCAGAAATGAAAAGTTTGAACCAAGTCAATTCTCTACGCCTGGAGCTTGTTGCTGGAGCGGGTGGTGAAGAAGCGGGTTTATTTACTCGAGATCTTTTTAACATGTATCTTATTTTGGCCTCGAGTTTTGGATGGGGGCTAAGGGATGTCAAGCTGGTCTCTATGAGCGGTTCTTCTTCTAGTGCTGAAGTTGCCAATTTGCAAGATATTTCTTTTGAAGAAAATTCCGTTCAATCCTGTGTGTCATCAAGCCTTTTGCAATCTCAGCTCGCTAATGCTGGAGCCCTCACTTCCGCCAAAGTTATATTGAGTGGGACTTGTCTCCTTGCATCTGAGGCCACTCAGCTCGGAAGCAAAGTAAACATTTCTTCATCTGAAATTTTCGATGAAATTGGCTTGCTACCTTTGGACCCCGTGATCTTATTTCAGCCCTTCTCACTTTATCAATTATTCAAATACGAAGCCGGTGTGCACCGAGTTCAGCGGATCCCTTCCACAAGCCGACAGAACAAAATACATACGAGTACTGTGGCCGTAGCTGTGCTTCCTGTTTTTGATGAGGTACCTATATAGGCTATATTTTATTTAATTAAAGATATGAAAACCAAGATGGCGTGGCCCTTGATATTGTTACAGTCTCTTCGATGTGCAAAAGTGGGCTGGCCTCGTTTTCACAACTTGGTCTTATTGTCAGAGAGACTTAGTTGGACGGATCTTGTCCGAAGTCCCCTGCAATAGTTGTTATCATAACTATGGGAACTTTGCGGTCAATGTTCTAGACAGACGTGTAAGCACAGCCGTTAAAGAAATTCAGCATTATGTCCAAAATGTACTGTAAATCCACTCGAGATGTAGCAGGCGACCATGGATAGGCGTCCACAGTTCGCTTAGGTAACACGACCCGTGAAGGCAATTCCTAACATTTGCAAGCATGGGAATCAGA